TAACATTTTCATATCTTTCTTCAACTCCTCTATATTTCTTTTTCCTCTATCTGATAATTGCTCATCGCTTCTGGGTATCATTTCCCAAATTATCCATTTTCGGTTTCTAATTTTCTAGCTTTTATTTTATTCGTTACTTCTGGTAAGTTTTCCCCTGTTTTTTGCCTTTCTTGCAGTGATTTCTGCCGTTCACTTCGGAATTCCTTTAAAAGTTTATCTATTTTTGCTTCAATTTTAGTTTTCTTACTCTTCCGCATAATTTCTAGCTTGATTTTCTATATGCATGTCAGTAAGTCTACTCTATCTGATGTGCACATGCATGTTTGAGATTGTACCTGGTGCATATAAGCTTATATTATTTTGGCTTACTCATCGTTGATATCTGTTCGTCTTTTTGAACTAATTACTAACTGTAAATCGAAATGTCAGTGCAAAAATCTATTGTATTATGCTTTTTGTTGGAAGAATGGGTCTGTGCTACAATACCAAAGATTTAATTGGTGATAATATCGGTTTATTTGTAAACATACTTTCATTGTGTTCTCTTTCTGTAAATCTTAATATATCTTATAGTTAATAATACTTTCCATCTGAATGTTTTTTATTTTTTACTCTTATTTTATTTTATTGTTTCGATTATTTTTCAATTTTGACTCAAGACGATGAGATTTCAAACTGTGCAAACTGATGAATCCAAAGTGTTCGGCGATATGCCTGAAACAACACAAAATTATTTGGTAAGAATTTCTTCTGTTTCTCTTTTGTATTATTGAGCAAATTAGGACTACCTTCAACTATACAAAGTTTTACATTCCTCTGAATTGGGGACATTTTTCATAAAAGTTATACAAATGTAGAAATACTTATAGAAGGCTAGAAGCAATAGTAGCGTTTTGCATTTTTCTTGTTATTTCAGTTGGATTTGTTGCTGTTTGGTAATTGACCATGGTATTAAAGTTGAGATGGTTAATAAGCTGTCATTGATGATTCTTTTTTTGTCTACCTAATCTTTTCTTGGCCAAGTATGGATGGACCTGTAATAATGTAAAAATAAATTCTATTTAAAGGACTTCTCTATGCAGTAAAATATTATAGAATGATAAAACTAAATCGCTGGACTTCTAGATTCAGGCGACGATGAATTTTTTTGAAGCCCTAGCAATGATGTTGATGCTGGTGACAAACAGATTGGAAAAAATGCCGGTCAACTATCAATGTGTTGTATTTAAACCTTTCAATAGTGAGATTTTGAATGCAGTATTTACCATAACTCAGAAGGTAAGAAAATTATGTTGTATTTAAGATATGCACAATATTATTTCTTAATTTTTCACTATCTATAGATATTTCATTCCTGACTATATTATTTTCTGCTTATGCATGTCTACTTCTGAATATTTTGTGTCAATTTGGTAGTAAAAACTGGCACTGAAAGGAACTCAATTAAAATAAAGGCTATATGAACGAAATCCTCAAAGGTCAGTAATGCACGCATTTATGTTCTATCAATAATTTTGGTTGCCCTTATCTTGCTTATTTTCAACATTGGTGGTAAAATAGCTCAACAATGCGAGGTACAAGAGTGTGATTCAATGATAAGGGCCTTATTGTTAACCGGAAATCTGGGGAATAATCAATCTTCTTTTACCAAAATGAGACATTGTTGCTTCTTTCAAGGTATACCCCTACGTTGTGTTCTTGTTTCCTAAGAAAGATTTAGTTAGTATTTTCTACAATATTGTTGGCGTGGATTTAGATCAGTAGATTGTGTTTGAAAAAGAATATGTATATGATGTTATTTAGACTGGTTTTTGGCTTTACAGGATTGAAGTTTATGGAAAGAGAGCTGGAAAGCTCACTAGCTTTTAGTAGCTTTTTGACTGAGTTTGAAGCGATTCACCAAGATAGTAAAAAAGTTCAAGGATCATGCGTCTAGAAGTACTTCCTAGTAATTTACGTTAGGTTA